ACATGTAAGAAGTAGAAAGTACAGGTATTTGTGTTCAACATGTAAGAAGTAGAAAGTACAGGTATTTGTGTTCAACATGTAAGAAGTCGAAAGTAAAAAGTCGGTAGAAAAATAAGTAGTGGAGTAAAGTACTGATACCAGAAAATATGCTTGAGTACAGTAACAAAGTATTTGTACTCCACTACTTCCCACCTCTATATGACAGGCTGTTGACTGCTCTCAGTTTGAAGTCCCTGGACATTAAAGGTTCAGGTAGATGTGAGAGAGGCAGAATTAATTCTCAAACAGGTGGCAGCTCCACACGTTTGACACAGGCCGTCATCTCGTTCCCTGACCTTGTCCGACTGAATGTTGGCAGCCCGACGCTGATCAAAGTCTGTAGAGTGAGAGAGCGTCTGTTCACACTTCAGAGGCTGAGAGACAAAGAGAGAGACGGGGGGGCAAGCAGCAGTGTGTGAGCTGTGTTACACCCACATTTTTGTATTGTCTTCCCGAAAATGCACAACGTCTGTCCACCCCCTAAAAACTAAAGCTTATATAAACACACGTGTGGTTTTGTGGAACAGAAATGCATGAGATATTAGTGAGAAAAATCAGCTGGTCCGACATTTTTGCGACACTTAAACTACAGCATCGACAAATCTACTTTCACAGAGAGCCGCTTTGATTGCCTAAAGCATATTATACCTGGGGTAAGACCAATTAATGTTATTCATTTGCATACATTTCACTTTCAATGCATTAATTGCGAGCATTAACTCATTAACTGCTGTGTTACAACTTTATATCCAACTTTATCCTAATTCTTGAATTGTGTTGTTAGACACAATAGACCTAATTCGCACAAAATTAAGCCACATTTTTGGGTGAAAAGAAGCAAAAAGATCAGAGGGAAAACATGTCAATGGATAATCCCACACTGGTCAAAATTAAGTGAGAAATCCAATCAAATTTGAATAAAACATCCATCGTTCAATGAAAGCACCCTGAAAGCATCCATTATATTCGTGTGTCATTAAGATGAAAGAACCCGTTGTGCTGACTTAAAAACGTTTTGGAGAACAACAGGAAGGCACATCACATTTGCAGGGCTTATTTACAAGAGTTTTCATTTTGTGTAGCGAGGACATTATTTGTATCCCAAGCTTTACCTCTGCAATTTCAGAAATCCGAATACTGCAGTTCTGAAGCTTGTCGAGTTGAACCAGTGGGAGTTAACAATGGAAAGTGACCTTGGCACAGCAGCTCGTTCAGATTGTAAATGTGGTTTTAATTCAACATGTCGGTATAGTACTTTTATTCAAGGTAAAACTTCCACAGAGAGACATTCAATTCAATCAAAAAGCTTTGAACCTGTATTCAGATTCTGTTGTATTAACTTTAATCACTGATTATCCACACAGTAAGTGGAATAAGCCGATTCAGATTGTCTCAGTCAATACAAAAAAGAGCTACCTTACACGAATAATAATCAGACCAGCTGTCTCCAACCTTCTTATTTACATGTAATGGTGATGCATATACCCCGAGATCATGACCGAAAGAACGAGATCGCGGGTACAAGCGGCCGAGATGGGTTTTCTCCGCAGGGTGGCTGGTGTCTCCCTTAGGGATAAGGTGAGAAGTTCAGTCATCCGGGAGGGACTCGGAGTTGAACCGCTCCTCCTTCGCGTCGAAAGGAGCCAGTTGAGGTGGTTCGGGCACCTAGTTAGGATGCCACCTGGGCGCCTCCCTAGGGAGGTGTTCCAGGCACGTCCAGCTGGGAAGAGACCAAGGGGTAGACCTAGAACCAGGTGGAGGGATTATATCTCTTTCTCTGGCCTGGGAGCGCCTTGGGATCCCCCAGTCAGAGCTGGTTGATGTGGCCAGGGAAAGGGACGTTTGGGGCTCTCTGCTGGAACTGCTACCCCCGAGACCCGACCACGGATAAGTGGGAGAAGATGGAGGGATGGATGGAAGGATGGCTTGAAAGAAAAACAAGGAAGGAAGCCACGACACAGAGCATTGCTTTGCTTCTGTGCTATAACTCCTGTCTGTTTCTCGCCATGAACTGTAGGTTATACACCAACTATATAAAATAACCAACTCTTTAATAACCCAAGTATCCCTTTAAGACTTCCAGAACTTACGCAGGTTGTCAGGACGCTGGCAGCAGCTTTGTCGAAGTGGAAAGCGCGGACACTCCTCATGCCGTCAGTTATAAGAGTCAACACGTAACTGCAACACAACAACAACAACAACAAATCAGTGAAGAATCATTAAACTGCCATCAGTGTTTATGTATATTCTGTCGGGGATTACAACGACTTACATTTCTCCTCCTTTCAAAGAGATGACCATCTTGTCATAGGCGATAAAGTCAGACTGAGAGCAGTCGAGTGAGATCTTCACTTCCTCCTGAACACCTGGGGACACAAGACACAAATCAAGAGGGATGAGGACAGCAGAATGTCAAATTATATTTAATAATGAGGCCAGATATCAGAGATACAGGTATAGTTAAGATAAGATGGAACTTTATTCATCCCCTTGGGGAAATTCAGGCGTTAATAGCAGCAACAGCGTCAGAATGAAAAACAGGATTCACACAGGGTAAACTAAAGTGATAAGTAACTATTAGAACAAGATATCACAGTAAAAAGTTGTGCATTTGTTAAATATATTTACAGAGTTGTGTTTTTCAGCTGATAATACTTACGCAGAGGAAATGCTGTGGTTCCATTAGTTTGAGAGTTGAGAGAAACTCCATAAGGAGGAACACTCTGGTTCAGATACAGCAAGGAATTCACAGCAAACACCACCACACCCCCTAGAAAAGAAACTCAATGTTATCAAAGGAGCTAACGCCTCAACACAGTTTATCACATCTTAAAGGTCCCCTATTATTCTGTTGTTCATCAATATACCACAGGTCTCAGATATATCCAGAGCCTGTCTCTGATTGGCTGAAACAGCAAACAGATCATTGCAGCATTACCCATAATCCCCTCTGTTTCAGCCCTCTGAGACTGCCAAGGCACACNCCACAGGTCTCAGATATATCCAGAGCCTGTCTCTGATTGGCTGAAACAGCAAACAGATCATTGCAGCATTACCCATAATCCCCTCTGTTTCAGCCCTGTTTCCAAAGTGCTGATTCTCTGTCTGTTACTTTAGATGAAAAGAGACATGTTGATGTAGAAGAAACATGAAGAAGAGGGGACACACGTTGATGTAGAAGAGACATGAAGAAGAGGGGACACATGTTGATGAAGAAGAGACATGGAGAAGAGGGGACACATGTTGATGTAGAAGAGACACGAAGAAGAGGGGACACATGTTGATGTAGAAGAGACATGAAGAAGAGGGGACACATGTTGATGTAGAAGAGACATGAAGAAGAGGGGACACATGTTGATGTAGAAGAGACATGAAGAAGAGGGGACACATGTTGATGTAGAAGAGACATGAAGAAGAGGGGACACATGTTGATGTAGAAGAGACATGAAGAAGAGGGGACACATGTTGATGTAGAAGAGACATGAAGAAGAGGGGACACATGTTGATGTAGAAGAGACATGGAGAAGAGGGGACACATGTTGATGTAGAAGAGACATGAAGAAGAGGGGACACATGTTGATGTAGAAGAGACATGAAGAAGAGGGGACACATGTTGATGTAGAAGAGACATGAAGAAGAGGGGACACATGTTGATGTAGAAGAGACATGAAGAAGAGGGGACACATGTTGATGTAGAAGAGACATGGAGAAGAGGGGACACATGTTGATGTAGAAGAGACATGAAGAAGAGGGGACACATGTTGATGTAGAAGAGACATGGAGAAGAGGGGACACATGTTGATGTAGAAGAGACATGAAGAAGTGGATTTTGGATAATAGGTGACCTTTAAACTAGGAGTAAACAACAAATGGGAGATTGATCTGAGCTCACCGATTGGTTTGGGAACAGGCATGACCTGCGTGCAGTCAAACGGCAGATTACTGAGCGACCAGATGACAGGATGCACTTTCTGCATTATGTTGAGGGAGATGGCCACGATGCTGCAGGTGTCCTGACGCACCGCCACACGCCTGGAAGAAGGATCAGAAAACAGAAGTAAAACATTAAATCAAAAGTGGCATTCTAAGAAATACAAAGAAAACCAAATGATGGACATTTTAAGCTAAATAAAGGCATTACTTGCTTACTCCTTGATTTGACAAAAAACTGAAATGACAATTGAATGCTAAGAAACAAAAGTACAAAAGAAATCATGGACAGGTCAAGCGAGATAAAGGCATTACTTGCAATAACCTTAATTTAACAAAGTGCGAGTAAAGTGGGGTGGGGGGGTTGTTGATCAGAGTTTGAAAGCTAGGGTGAATAGATTCAAGGCTTTTATTGTGATGTGTGCATAGCTACGGTCATAGGCGGCGCGTGAGGCTCAGGTTTGGGAAGGCTACTTTTTTTACCTGACGCTGCCTGCCTCCAGCGTCTATAGAAAAGAGATCAACTCAGTGAAAGCACCGCCTGCTGACCAATCAGAGCTCAGTGTGCGGAGTTTAAATCTATCAAGTCATATTACAGGATAAAGGAAATACAGTTTAAACTGCCGTATGCAGAGAAGACGCCGAGCTGTCGCACATCATACTTGCCAACCCTCCCGATTTTCGCGGGGTCACATTTCTCCCGCATTTCTGACAAAATCAGATTTACTCAGGACTGTTTCCACTCGGACTTTAATACAGCTACACCATTGTTTGGTTTCCATGGTAACGCGTCTCTTTAGTAGTGCGCGCAACTGAAAGTCTGAGATATATCACAGAAAACAGAACAAGAATCGAGAACTCTACCCTCTGCTCACTCCTTTCCTGCAGTGCACTTACAACTACAATAAGCATGTTAATGTTAATCTAATACAGCTCCGGCGAACCATCCATGTTGCTAACCCCGCCCCTTTCACGTGAGCGTGCTCTCAGCTGGAGAGAGAAACCCTGGCTTGATTTACCGAGTTGATAACCAAGTGCAGAATAGTCTTTAACAGTGTTTGGGATTTAACAGAATAAGTGAGTTTTGAGGGATTTTTAGAAGGATTCAAGAGTGTTGGCCTTTCGAATGTGACTGGAAAGGGAGTTGTTACAGAAAAGAAAAACGTATATCTACTGGATAATAAGAGACAGTGCTTGTTATGTCTGATGTTGTGGAGCACTCACCCAGGCCATGTCTGACTGGGCTCAAACAGGATGAGCAGCGTCGGCTCGTAGTATCCGTGGAGGAACTTCATGTCGACGATGTTCAGCAGCTTCTCGTCCAGCTCACGAACGTCAATGATGTAACTCGGCAGGAAGTTGGATTTAGGACTGCAGATGAGATACAGAAGAGTTTGCAGTTAGAAAATATCACAGATGTGTGTAGTAAGCATTAGACAAACATCTAGTTATATTATTAGACTTGGTTAGATTAGTGTGACGACCCCTGTGTCCCTGCTGTCCCTGTTATGTGTATGTCCCTTTAATGATTCTCCCTTCTCTGTATGAGCGCTGATTGATGGCACCTGGCCGCCGGTACCTGAGGAGTGAAAGGCTCGAGCCAGAGTCTTGCTCTCTCACTCGGTTGGAGGATCTGTTTTTGAGAGCAGCTGCCTGACTTATATGCTTTTGTTTCCCTTGTTTAACGTGTCCGTTCACACAAGACCACTGGAAACGCTGTAGTACATATGCCGGGCCTGTAAGTGGCGCTGTACTTCGGCAACAAAATACACCAAAAGTAGCGAAGAAGACCCCCGAGCATGGTTGCCCTTCTGTTTATGCCCCGCGGTGGATTTAGCAGTTCTCCATGTCCACTTGTTGCTGATGGTTGTGGTAGAGGAGCTGTAGATGTTGCACTAACATCTGTAGCATGGTCAGTAGCTACTGACAGTAGCTACTGACCATGCTACAGCAGTGAGCAGCAGAGGCGGGGCTATGGCTTCATCGTTATTAGGAAATGATCGTACAGGGCGTACACACGGAGCCGTTTGGCCCCCCAGAGCGTTCCGCCTGCAGATCTATCCACCTTGGGACACGTTATCGTTTGCGGAGTCCGTTTCTGCGGTTCCGTTACGGCCTCATGTGAACGAATGGGTTATACGCGACAGAAGTAGCGGATACAACCCGTTTCGTTCTCGTGTAAACGCCACCTTAGTTTGGCATTCAACACCTTGCACCACACCACGTTCACACACCTACTCTACTGATCTAACTGATTAACACATCCCATGGTGGTAGCTCTTTTGTTTAGTTGTTTGGTTTACAATAAATATCTGCCTTATATCGTGTCCGTTCCACGTTTTTGTTATGGCCAAGAGCCAGGCCATGACATTAGTGATCCACGATCAAGGTAAACTAACATCATCAGGATAAAAGTGGATTTTTTTTAATTAAATAGCTGTTTTCTTATTATTTTTTGTATTGTTCTTCTTACCATTGATACACAATGAAGTAAACTACAAATTCTTACAATTAACAGGGGTAGAACAGTGTAAGATTCCCACTTTTGGTATAACCAAACCAAGTTTAGGGTTCGATTTAACATACACACATTTACATTTTCTTGAAAGATTTCTGAATATTTAGAAATAATCACACCTGCCTATTCTAATTGTCTTCCTTTTTAATATATTTGACAGCATTTTTGTAACTTTTCTTTCACTTAAAATGTAATCGTATGTACACGTGAGACGAATCAGATAAAGGTTGACCTATGGCAGAGAGTCAACTATTTATTATCTATTTAAACGTACGTGTTTATTTATTTTCCTTTACTCAACTATTCTTGAATCAATATTTATTTTCAAGACTTAGAGGTGTGAGTTTATAATATATGAATTCCCTTTGCTGCGACTAAAGGTTACAAGACTCCCGATTTTTACCTCTCTTAATCAACAGGTTAAGATTATTGGTGCAGGGTTTTGAGATGTCTACCACACAAATAATAATAATAAGATAGAAAATTGATCAACCATGTTGTTGTTGTTTTGTTTTAGTTTTTGTGTGTGCTGTGATTCCAACCATTTGTTTGTCTATCATTTTAAATGTTTGTGTACTATTAATGTTGTCTTACTCTGTGTGTGTGTGTGTGTGGGGGGGATACAAACAAGTGGACAACCTGCACACCTGTATTTTATCGAGAATGTAAAGGTGTGAGTTGTATGATATATTAAGTCCCATTGCTGCCATTTTGGTTATTGTGCTGCTGTGTTTATTGTATTTTTGTAACTCTGGCACAACAATTTACGTCGGGATGAATAAAGTCCTATCTTATCTCTTATACGCCTGATTTATACCTCTCTTAAAAGGTCCCATGTCACGGCCTTTTCTACTGATCATAATTCCATTGTTGAGGTCTACTAGAATAGATTTAAATTGTGCAATTTTCCAAACTCACATTGGTTTCTCATACAGCATCTCTGTAAAGTATGTGTATTCACTCTCTGTCCTAAACGGCTTGTTGGAGCTCCTGACCCCCCCCCCCTCCCTGTGAGCCCAGTGTCCGTCTGTGAGACAGCGAAACCCAGCCCGAACACACACATACACACACCCGCAGCCTGGCTGGGAGTTTGAATGTGTGCTCACACACCGACTCACAGCCTCGCCGCGGAGCTGCGGCTGAGAAAAGATTGAGTGTGTGTGTGTGAGGAATTTGGACGAACCCACGGAGGGGTCGTCGTTACGTCACTCGGTTCCCGGAAGAAAAAAGTTGAAAAAGAGAAATCTCCAACGAGGCGTTCTGGGGCAGCATAGACAGGTCTTCTCTGTGTTAGAGTTCTACTCCCTACAGGGTGTACTTTGAGGGTTTTTGACTCTGCAGACCGTTCACATGCAGAGAAACCTTCATAACACACAAGGGGACGAGTGATAACAGGAAAAGCATGATATGGGACCTTTAATCAACATGTTAAGATATTTGGTGCAGGTTTTTGAGATGTCTACCACACAAATAATAATAAGAATGTAAAGTATGATGGAGACGTACCCTTCTCCAACTCCGCCCTCCTGTTCGTCAGTGATAGAGTCCTTCCTGAACGGCAACACCACCAGCTGGGTGCCGTAGACGAGCATTACAGCGCAGCGATTCTCCGGATCTACCCGGACGATGGGAATATGTACATTCTGCACAAAACCATCCTGAAAGTGTAAATAAAGTGTTAATCCCTTCTTAATGAGTCAGATAGAGCTATTATTTCCACATGTGTACTGTGTTTTGGTTTCATACTCTGAGCTCCGGTTCTTCAAAGTAATGCAGAGACAGAGACTTGAGGTCATGTGTCCCGGGGTCATACTCCACTACTGACAACTGGTGAGAAAACAAACACAACCACAGGTCAGTGAATAACAATTATAGGCTGTTTGAGAGTCAGTTTCAGGCCACGTGTTAGTCAATGGTACCTTGGCATCTTTAAAACTGAGCAGTAGTGCATCTCTGTTGGCTCCGACAAGCTGTACGCTGGCCATGGACATGATATTTCCGAAGAGAGAAAAGGATGCCACTTGCTCCAGCTTCTCCTTACGAGGTTTGGCATCTGTATGAGGAGGAAAAAGTGAAAAAATGCACTTATTAAGGTGTTTTTTATTCATTAATGGTACAATATATACGTTGGGCATGATGTGTAGACGTACCTGAAGACTTGTCGGTCTTTGATGTACTCTGAAATAATGACATACATGTTACATTAAAGCTGAACTATTTTGTATTCGAAAGCTTGGCACAATGAAACAAGCAGAATGAAAATGAGACAGTTACCTCGACATCATGGATAATCCTGTAGACATACAGCTGAGATGTTCCAGCAACGACCAAATTCTTCTCCTTGCTGGATATGAAGTTGCAGTAGACAGAAAACTCCACCGCAGTGGGAGTGTGTGCTTGTCTGTAAACAGCATACATCCTGGAGAGGTTCACTCACTGTATGAGGGGAAAACAGTCAGGTCAGGAGCTCTTAACATCACTTTTAAATCACCACTCTCCAATCAACATATACACAACAATCCTGTCCAAGTCTTCCTTCAAAGTAAACTGGAGTAGATATGTGTGATTGGATCAGTGCCTAGTGTCAAAAGCCGACATGCCAAATTAAATGTAGCATTGCAGGACACCTTTCAATGCAAATCAAGTGCTAAATGTTAACGTACCATTCAAGCAAGTGCTTAAGTACACATTTGAGGTACTTGTACTTTACCCATGGGCGTAGTTTCCACTGGGGACATGTCCCCCGCACTTTTCAAAATCCTGTTTGTGTCCCCCCCACTTTTCAAATGTGTTTATTTTAATTTTTTTACGCAAGCGGTCATCGTCACAGAGGAGCGTCTGTTTGTGTGGCACGAGCGTATTTCGAGAGAGAGACACACACAGACAGACACACACACAGAGAGAGAGAGAGACAAAGAGAGAGAGAGACACACACAGAGATAGAGAGAGAAAGAGAGACACACAGACACACACAGAGATAGAGAGACACACAGACACACACAGAGAGAGAGAGAGAGAGAGAGAGAGAGAGAGAGAGAGAGAGACACACACACACACACACACACACAAACACACACACACACAGAGAGAGAGAGAGAGAGAGAGAGAGAGAGACAGACACAGAGAGAGACACAGAGAGAGGGAGACACAGAGAGAGACAAAGAGAGAGAGACACACACACAGAGAGAGAGAGAGACAGACACAGAGAGAGAGACACACAGAGACAGACACAGAGAGAGACACACAGACACAGAGACACACAGAGAGAGAGAGAGAGACAAAGAGAGAGAGACACACACACAGAGAGAGAGAGAGAGATACAGACACAGAGAGAGAGAGACACACACACACAGAGAGAGAGAGACACACACAGAGAGAGAGAGACACACACGTTGTTAGCATCTGGTGCTAGCTCGGAGATAACGGAGATTAGAAGCTGTTTCAACAATAAGGAGAGGGTGAGTCCTCTCCTGTGGGCCACAGGAGAGGACTCACCCTCTCCTTATTGTTGAAACAGCTTCTAATCTCCGTTATCTCCGAGCTAGCACCAGATGCTAACAACGTGTGTGTCTCTCTNCCACACACACACACACACACACACTTCTCCGCCTCATTCTGTTTTCATTTACTCGTTCGTTATCTGACCAGCTTCAATCTTGTAGGCTACTCACTTCGTTTCTTGTAGCCCTCGAAAGGGTTTTGGAGGTTGATCCCTCGGTGAACGGGAGTTGAATGGCTTTCTTGTCCGCAGCAGCAGAAAGCATTTTCGAATGTTTGAATGAATCAAAGTTGGTCGCCACCGTCGATTTTCTCTTATGCTGCAACACACAGTTGCACGGGGTGCAGTATAGTTTCCCCCCACTTTTTGCCCGGTCTTTAGTAGAAATGTTCGTTGGTAAATGAGCTCTATACAGTGTTGTTTACATTCTGTGATGCGCGAGCTGATGACGTCACGTCAAGACGAGTTCACTTTTTTTTCTTCTCAACTTTGTGTGGAAAAATGCGGGGATTATGCGGCCTTTTGATAAATATGCGGCTTTTTAAAAATCTGCGCCATTTGGCTGATTATGCGGTAAATTCTGCGATCGCAGAATCGCGTTTTTCTGGAGGGTCTAACTAATCGGGTGAAACAAGGAACAAGAACAAACTCACGGACAGGCAGGGAATAAACTCACGGACAGGCAGGGAACAAACTAATGGACAGGCAGGGAACAAACTCACGGACAGGCAGGTAACATTGACGAAAAGACGACGACCGAACAGGAAGCAAAGGGGAAGGCAAGACTAAATACACAGAAGGGTAATCACAGGACAAGACAGATCTGGGCAGGGAGGCAGAAACACAAGGGCAACAGGTGAACACAATCAGACAATCAGACACAGGAGGGCAAACACAGGAAGGAAGACCAAACACAGTGAGAACAGAACTTCAAAATAAAACCGGAAACTAAACACACAAAACTAAGAATCGTGACAGAAGCTACTGTGACTGTGGCTGGAAGGGTGTCATTATATTATTCATTAGCGCCAGCGTTCGTAAGCATGTGTCACATTTGGTATTACAGCAAAACAGAAATGCAAAGATATTTTATTTTGGCATGTTATCCGTTCCCATCTAACCCCCTCAATGCAACCAACAATAACTCTGCTCAAAGCTCCATTAGACGCCTACCAACAGGGAATAATAAGGGGAAAATACCACATATTAGCAAGAAAACAAAGAGGCCTTACATTTGGCTCGCACACAAAGTAATTCCGCCCTGCTGAGACAGAAAAAAACTTGTATTTAGTGCATTAGTGACAGCCAGAGTCCATCCTACAGTCCACATGGAGGTCTGGTCCAGGCTCCTGTGGATTGGGGAGTTCACATTATTAACAACCTGCAAGGGTCCGATAACACTGTGGCATTCGATTAGACAGGGCAGAGCTGGCTGAGGTTATTTAATGCAGCCTGTCTTAATCCCCCAGACTGTAAGTGAAAAGTCTGCCAAAAAGTCCATCTGTTCCCTGCACATACAGAAGGCTTCTTCACTGGGTGAACTTCTGAAACTTTTTAGAAAAGTTTTTGAGGTCCTTTGATGTCGTTGAATTTGCAGAGGAGTGTGAAAGGAAAGCATAAAGAAAAGTGCTTCTTTTGAGATTAACACAAGAAGCAACGATCCTTTGAATTTGATTTCTCAAGTTTATATTAATAGGCACATTAACGGTTGTGTGGTTGCTATTAATTTCTCTAGGGGGACAAATACAAGTTGTAACAGTACTGACAGAAAATCTCTCCTCCTACACAAGCCTCCTCACTGTCTCCCTCCTCCCGCTCTGTAACTGGCACAAATGTCCTATTTTTATAGCAGAGATGAGAAAGCTATAGTTAACAGCAGAGACCAGAGTAAAAGTCCCAGCGATCAGCATCCAAAACACTGTGACTGCTATGGCATTTGCATTTTCATTTTGATGAATGCCTACTGGCCTACTCAAAGGGACAGAAGGTCATTTTCAGAATGAGCTTGCTACATTTGAAGTCCACTAAATAACTTCCACCAAAACGGATAAAATCAGCAATTGGGAAACTGACATTTACTCTAGAACTGATACCACTGTGACATTTTCAGCGAGAAACCAAATCAATTTCACATTTAAAGGTTTTCTGCCCTGGTCTTTTATTGTGGAATAACAGACTGCTCCAAAGTAAGTATGTATCGGGCCAGAGTATCTTTGCTCAAACACAATACTTGTCATATTTAAGTCAAGGTTTTATTTTGTTCTTAATGCAGACCTAGTACAAATTAAAGTGACAGGAAGTCAGTCTTTTCAGTAGCAGCTCGTTACATCTGAAGTCCGCCAAATAATGTTTGTGGACTTCCACCAAAACTGGTAAAATCAGCAATTGAAAAACTGACATTTACTCTACTGATACCACTAGGACATCTTCAGTGAGAAACCGAATCTGTTTCACATTTAAAGGTTTTCTGCCCTCGTCTTTTGTTGTGAAATAACATACTTGTCCAATGTTACGATTATTGTGTTATGTCAAGTTTTGTATGTCTTGTTTTGGGGTTTTTGCTGTTCTCCCTGTCATGTTTTCCTCCTTGTATGATGTCTGGTCCTTCTTCCTGTATTTTTCCCCTGTCGTTAGTTTCCCTGGTGTGTCTAGTTGTCTGATTGTGTTTACCTGTTGCCCTTGTTTTTCTCCTCCCCTGCCCGGCTGTTTCTCGTCTTGTGATTACCCCTCCCTGTATTTAGTCTTGTCTCTTCCTGTGTTCAGTGTTGTTTCGTCTTTTGTTTGTGACTGAGTTCACCGGTGAGTGTTCTGTTTTGTCCAAGTTTTTATTTTATCCTTGAAATAAAGGCAATATCAGTGTAATCTGCATTTGGGTCCTGCTTGCTTCACCCACCGAAACAGTACGAACCAACCAAATATGGGCCCAGCAGNATACAACAGTGGTGGGACTCATCGGGGACAAAAACGAACAGGCCTACAGGGAGGAGGTGAAACATCTGACAGACTGGTGTAACACCAACAACCTGATCCTGAATGTCGATAAAACAAAAAAGATCATTGTCGACTTCAGGAACAAAAAGCACTGTCAGCCACCCACCACTCCACATCCACGGCACAGCAGTGAAGACTACAGACAGCACCAAGTTCCTAGGGGTGCATATCACAAGCAGTCTGACCTGGTCCACTCACACTACATCACTATTTAAGAAGGCACAGCAGCGCCTACACTTCCTGCGCAGGTTGAGAAGAGTACAGCTCCCCCCTCCCATCCTCACAACGTTCTACAGAGGAACCATAGAGAGCGTGCTGACCAGCGGCATCTCCATCTGGTCGAGAGACTGCAACGCTAAAGACTGGAAGTCTCTGCAGAGAGTGGTCAGGACAGCAGAGAAGATCGTCGGAGTTTCTCTCCCTCCCATCAGAGACACCGCTCAGAAACGCTCCCTGACAAAAGCCCAGAACATTTTTAAAGACCCCACTCATCCTCACCATGCTCTGTTCTCCCTGCTGCCCTCCAGCAAGAGGGTCTGCAGCATTAAGAGCAGAACAGCCAGATTCTGCAATAGCTTTTCCCCCCATGCCATCATACTGCTGAACAGCAAGTAGACCAGTAACATAAAGATTACATTACGCTGTGTAAAGAGCACATCTTTTTTATATAGTATGTCTATTTTATTTATATGTATAGTAAATCTTTATATTTTAAACGCACACTTTATTTTTAATTGTATCAGCACCACGTCACTATTATTTATTTATATGTAAGCAAGTTTTTATATTGTCCTGTTCCTGTAAGCCAGGACAACGACATTTCGTTTTAATAGTACACTCTGTGTCTTGTTGAAATGACAATAAAGTATGTCTATCTATCTATCTATCCTATTTGTAACTAAAACTTTAAAGATGCAAATATAATAAGCAATGTGTTTACATTAGCAGCACGTATATACACATGCACAATGGAAAGGACATATATCACTAGAGTATCTAAAACTACAATATACAACCTCACTAAGCTAAAGAAATAGCTAGCAAAAAGGTGAATAAATGAAGTCAAAGTTAGCTTTTCCCATGACAGCTAACGTCTAGGGAGACAATAAAAAACATTTGTATCCAATTTTATAATTTGTGTATGACTAATGTGTGTCTTTACTAAGATTTATCCCCAGAAAACGAATGTATGGGAAAGCTAACGTTGCTTAGAAATGAGCTAACGTTCCTGTCTGTAGCTAGCATGTATTAGCTAGCATATATTAGCTAGCATGGCAGCGTGCACCTGGTATGTTTTTGCAAAATGGTGAATTAATCTTGTAAACGTACCTATATCACACACGTTATCAGAGTCTTTATTTTTCCTTCTTCTGTTTACATTTAAGGTGCCATAGTTTGTGGCTTTCTAACTTGAACAGTTAGTGGCGGTTGTGTTGTGTCGCTGTGCCGACTTCTTCTTCGCGTGACTCATTTGGAGGTAGACTAGCGGCTCCTCGGTGAACTGCTGCCACCTACAGGTAACCAATGTTATAGCAGCTCAAATATAAAAGAATCAGAAACAGATTTATTGCTAAGTAGGTGTAAACATACGAGGGATTTGCTTAGTGTTCATTCGTCGTATGTGTACACCTACACAAATGTGTATTTAAGCCGCTATAATATTGCTGAAGCGCATATCTGTCTGTATGTATGTATGTTGGCATGTATGTATGTATGTTTGCATGTAGCCTACTGTATGTATGTGTGTATATTTTAATGCCCTTCTGTGTGTACACATTTTAGCAGACCGTCTGCTATGTGAATAGTATGTATGGTAAAGAAAACATAATATGCAATATAAAATGTTGCTCAGAGCTCCAGATGAGTGATTTCGAAAAATGTGCCGAAGAAACTGCCATTGTATCTCATTTGAAGACGTTTTATTTTTCTTAAAAATAATAATGATATTTCATTAGACTGCAATGTTTTCATGTTTCAAACAAAAAAGCAAAAAGATTTTGAATAACATATAACAAATCATAATTAAAGAGAACTTTGGTAAACGGATTCCCCGGCTGAACTCAAGACATAAGAAACCCACAGATTTGTTAAGAGATCTACTTCATTTTTTTAAATAGCCTCCCAAAGAGGCACTCAAACGCTTATTCCCCTGTGCTGCATGACAACAAATCTTAACTTGCAGTTTCTTTTGTTAAGCTAAAATAAGAAAACACAAGAATGTCAATCACACAGTATATGTGATGAGCTTAAAACTTAAAAAGATAATCAAAATGTTTCCTTTATGATGGTAAGAATTGTAGATATAGGCATCATTTTTATTTTTGTAAATGGGGTAATCATTTTCATTAAAGTAGAGCAGAAGTATTAACTTTAACCACATTTGTGAGCTTACCTCTTGACAATCTTCATATACAGACAAAAAAACCTTGACAAAGTGTATCTTTAGCTCAAACCCCTGAACCCGAAAAGACAAATAGAGATGGATTATATTATGTGAGAGTGTGTGTGTGTGTGTGTGTGTGTGTGTGTGTGTGTGTGTGTGTGTGTGTGTGTGTGTGTGTGTGTGTGTGTGTGTGAGAGAAGCACAGGGATTTTAGCCATTGCACAAAAACCTATAGAACACACAACCAGAAATGGAAAACCCCAAAAACTCATAATAGGGTCTCTTGAAGCACTAATAATAATAATAATGATAATTGGAGATTTTAACTGCCACATACAATAACTGCTAAAACACACTTATTTAAAGACAGAGCACAATTCGCCTTTTAGTGTGCGCGATGAAAGATATTTAATTAAAATTCATGTTTATAGGTCCAGGAGTTTCTCTTCATCAGGCTAAATTGAAACAAATAATGAAAGACAAGTAACTGATTAAACAGTAAGAAGGAGAATTCATCACATTCCGATCATGAGAACAAATACTGTACACTTAACAAAAAATGAGCCCCTTATAAATCAAATGCACGTTTTCAATTAAGACTGAAACATTTGTCATTTTCCGACGGCCTCAGCGGGTGATTCTCTGGCATGTAATGAGATATTCGGGAAACGCCTGCGTGTCGTTGAAGATGATGAACATCTCCGGCTTGGTGATGTCGTCGGTCACGCTGTCGTATCGGAGGGGAATACCTTCGGTCTCCTTCAGAGGGGCGGTCTTCATCGAATGGCAGCCTTTAGTGTAGTCACCCGTCAGAACCTTTGACACAAAGATATACTTGTGTCCGTCTGCATTTGGGGGCGAATACTGCTCCTGGACCGACAGCGCAGAGTTGACGGCAAAGTAAACCCCCTGACCGTAAACTGTGGCTGTGTAGAGAAAACAAAATGTCAGAACATCTGCACAACAGCTACCTTGCACATCTGTAATTTATATACTATCATATGTACAGTATATATGTTTCTGCTCCTGTAGTATGAGTATACATTTCTGTTGCTGCAGTATTTTGGTCACCATTTTAATTTATCCAGAATATTTTCTATCCATCAATCTATCTATCCATCCATCCATCTATATATATCTATCCAACTATCTATCTATCTATCTACGCGCACCTCTGGTAGATACTCGCTCTGCGAGTAAGGTTAACACCCGAGTAGTACAACTAAGCGGTGTTGTCTTTTTTCTTTTTTCTTGAGAGCCGAGAGAGGTCTCCCGATCCATGGTTTTTTCCCGGTTTGGTTGGTGGTGTGTTGTGTGGTGTGTGTGGTGTGTGTGTGGTGGGTGTTGTGGTGTGGTGGGGTGTGTGGGTGTGGTGTGGTGTGTGTGTGTGGTTGGGTGGTGGTGTGGTGTGGTGTGTGTTGGTGTGTTGTGTGGGTGTGTGTGTGTTGTGTGTGGTGTGTGTGTGTGTGTGTGCCATTACTTAATCTGAAAATTTTTTTTTTTTGTTAAATAACCACTAAAGCATTAATTGGTGACTAAAGGGTGGTCCCACCTCCTTCGAGTACCTTAGCCTGCGGACAGTGTGGTCATGTTCAACTTTTTCCCGCTCGCAGGACGTTGCGCGCGGTGCATAGGCACCTAGCCTTGTGCGAATAGTGCCGTGCTCACTTCTTGCGCCACTTCCTCTAGACGCACGTGCCTTAGTGTGTCCTTCGAAAAACATCCCCACTTCGTGCCATACACAAAATAAAGGTCTTACCCGTTAACAATAGCAAAATAGAGTAAAAACCTACTTATC